GCTGAACGAAATTAAAGTTTCTATTAATCACCTGTGTTCCACGATCCATTCGCTGCAGTCATGGATGTAAATTGGGTTCGTTCGTTAAATATTTATTTTTGTCGTTTGCGGTTATATTGAAAACTCGCGTTACCAGGAATGAGACATAGTTCAGAGCATGATCCATCAGTACGTGGATTTTAAATCCAATTACTCTCGTAATAATTCGTAGATCGTCGTCGTTCGGTTTCCTGAAAATAAATTCGCAATGTAATTGAGGTTAGGTTAATATTTAGAGAATAAGTACGATTTATTTAAAAATAGGGGTAAACGAAGTTAAAAACGTGGATTTAAATTCAATTACTGTCGTAATAATTCGTGGATCGTTGTTATTAAATTTTCTGAAAATAAATTCGCGATGTACAATAATTTAGGTTAGGTTAATATTTAGAGAATGTTAAATAAGGACGATTTATATAAAAATAGGGTTAAACGAAGTTGAATTTAAATTCAATTACTCTCGTAATAATTTCTTGATCGTCGTTGTTTGATTTCTTGAAAATAAATTCGCGATGTACAATAATTTAGGTTAGGTTAATATTTAAGGACTGTTAAATAAGGACGATTTATATAAAAATAAGGTTAAACGAAGTTAAAAACGTGGATTTAAATTCAATTACTCTCGCAATAATTCGTAGATCGTCGTTGTTTGATTTCCTGAAAATAAATTCGCGATCTACAATAATTTAAGTTAGGTTAATAATTATAGAATGTTAAATAAGTAAGATTTATATAAAAATAGGGTTAAATAAGATTAAAAACGTGGATTTTAATTCAATTACTGTCGTAATAATTCGTAGATCGTATTTGTTTGATTTCCTGAAAGTAAATTCGCGATGTACAATAATTTAAGTTAGGTTAATAATTAGAGAATGTTAAATAAGGACGATTTATATAAAAATAGGGTTAAATGAAGTTAAAAACGTGGATTTAAATTCAATTACTCTTGTAATTCCTGGATCTTCGTTGTTTGATTTCCAGAAAATAAACTCGCGATGTGCAATATTTTAGGTTAGGTTAATAATTAAAGAATGTTAAATAAGGACTATTTATATGAAAATAGGGTTAAATAAGTTTGAAAAATTGAGATTTGGAGCGAAAATGGTGATTGAAATTCACGATTGTTCTCTGTTATTTGCAGTTCTACAAATCGACTGGTATTATGAACGTCTCTACCGTGTTTCCGGAAGGACTCACTGAAACCGAGAGGTCGCAACGTCATGCATCGGCGAGTGTAAAGGATGACGAGGAGGTTCAGGATAGATACAATCGTAAGTACCAGAGGATTCTAATTTTTCCCTATCGTCACGTGATAATTCAAGATCGTAACCTTTGAGTCATCGTGTTACACTGTGCCTCACGCTGCGTCATTTTTATTTCATATTGGATCAAGTCATTAATTGTGCATCGATTTATGAAATATGTATGAGATATATGAAGTAAATATTTATGATTTCTGCATACTACGACTCGTTATGGGAAACTGATATAACGCGAACACGTACAGAATGTTGCGTAATGGGAAACATAATTGGAGAAAAGAATAACTTTGTTATATTGATGTTGAGTCTGAGACTAAGATTCGATGAGAATAACTTCAAAAATAATTTATTCTTGAAAAATCAAACTGATGGATATATTGATGCATAAGAAAATATTTACAAGTGAATGCAATTTTTTAATTTAATTCCATTATTATTTTGGCAGTGGGAGTAGGATAGGTGAGAATGAAGTAAAATAATTTTTGTTTTAAGTAGAACAAGAATATTTATTATGTGGTATTAATTTAACATTGCCACCAAATTTTTATATGGTACGTTTAGGGGGGTACAATCAAATTTCCATTATTCTTATAATGATGAATTATCAAATATGGCAAAGAGAAAAAAGGAAAATAGTGCCAGTTATTAATGTTTTCTATTCAAAGTTCTCTATCTATTTGAGTTGTAAAAAATAGGTTAGAATAAAACAAATATAAATTTAAAAAGTTAATATGTTAACATATGCAAATATTTAGACACTCTTGTCAGTGGTAAGGTGCAATATATTGTGAGCTCTTAATATTCTAATATCCAAATTATATTCTATATTAATTAATACATTAACTATATGAGTATAAAAGAAATATGAAAAGATATAATATTAAATATATATTTATTAATACATTAATAATATA